CAAGGAGCACTCTGGCTGCACTTCCTCCAAAACAGATCTATTGGTTCTTTTGGCAGTCCATGGCACTTTCAGTATTCTCCTCCAACACCACAACTTAAAGGCATCAATTCTTCTACGATCCTCCTTATTCACTATGAGTATTTCAAATTAAAAGGATCAATCACAACAATGATTCCAACAGCAACTACATGTATCATGGCGCTAGTCTTCTTTTGTCCTGTATGTAATCACAAAGTAGGACTAGTTAAGAACAATCATTATAAGATGAAGAGTGATCTCCTTTTCAATCTAAAAACTAAACAAGAAGTTCTGATTGTTCTTGTTGTTAGGTGCCATCAAGTCGGTACCGACACATAGCAACTCTATGCACAACAGAACAAAACAATACCCAAACCTGGGTCAACCTCACAATTGTTGCCACTTTGAGCCCACTGATGTTGCTACTTTGCTTATCCATCTCACTGGGGGTCTTCCTCTTTTTCTCTGACTCTCCACCTTGTTGTTGCTGTTAGGTGCCATCAAGTCAACAACGACCCATAGCGACCTTATGCACAGCAGAATGAAACACTGCCCGATCCTGGGCCAACCTCACTACTGTTGCCACACTTGAATCCATTGATGCTGCCACTTGACCAATCCATCTCTTTGGGGATCTTCCTGTTTTTCTCTGACCCTCCACCTTACTAAACACGATATCCTTCTCCAGCGACTGGTCCCTCCTGACAATATATCTGAAATATGAGAGACGAAGTTTGGCCATCTTGGCCTCCAGGGAGCATTCTGGCTGTACTTATTCCAAAACAGATCTATTGGTTCTTTTGGCAGTCCATGGCACTTCCAATATTCTCCTCCAACACCATAACTCAAATACGTCAATTCTTCTATGGTCTTCCTTATTCACTGTCCAGCTTTCACATCCATATGAGGTTACTGAAAATATAATGGCTTTGGTCAGGCGCGCCTTAGTCCTCAAGCTGACATCTTTGCTCTTCAACACATTAAAAAGGTCTTGTGTAGCAGATTTGCCTAATGCAATACGTCGTGTGATTTCTTGAGTGTTGATAGTTGATCCAAGAAGAATGAAGTCCTTGACAACTTCAATCTTTTCTCCATTGATAAGAATGTTATTTATTGGTCCAGTGGTGAGGATTTTTGTTTTCTTCACATTGAGATGTAATCCATACCGAAGGCTATGCTCTTTGATCTTCATCAGTAAATGTTTCAGGTCCAGTAAGGTTGTATCATCTGCATATCGCAGATTATTAATGACTCTTCCTCCAATCCTGATGCAACGTTTTTCTTCATATAACCCAGTTTATCGGATTATTTGTTCAGCACACAGGTTGAATAAGTATGGTGAAAAAATACAACCCTGTTGCACACCTTTTTAAATTGTAAACCATGCAGTGTTCCCATGTTCTGTTCAAACAATTGCTTCTTTGTACAGGTACCGATTCCTCATGAGCACAATTAAATGTTCCAGAATACTCATACTTCACAATGTTGTCCATAGCTAGTCATGATCAACACAAT